AAATTTAAAGTAGTTTTTTCTAATTCTGTGAAGAAAATCAATGGTAGCTTGATGGTGCAGGCCATGAATGTAAACTGTTGGTTTCTAAGACTGCCACAGAGCTGGATAAGATGGAAATAGGGAAAGTTAAAATGCCACAAAGCTTGCTGTTCTGAGTAAATTCAGCCACTTTTCTTTAAAGACACCCTGGACTGCTGCAAGTCTTTGGTTAATTTCCCAGATCCTGAAAAAGTTAATTTTTGCCATTTTTGCAAGAATTCTTACTGCTTTTATGGAGAAAAGGACTTTTGGAGGTCCTTTCTCTGCCATTCCCATTGACATACTATTTTTTTTATTTTTAATCCTTATGTGAAAAGTTTATTTAGGTGTACCATTTGTAAATCACTTTTTAGGAATTTCAGTTGGAGAGTCTTTGTATTTTATTAGGAAAAGTCAACTTTTGAATATATTGTGTGCACAGATATAGTCAACCTATTGTTTTGGTTCTGGAATTTGGCAGGCCCAAATGAAATCCTGATATTGTTACCTACAATTAGTGTGACTTTGGGCACCTTATTTAAATTCCCTGAGTTTATTTTACCATTTATGAAAAGGCAGTATTAGGACATGAACTTTATGACTTCATTTTACATTTTCTATTTATTATGTTTTCTTATTTTTTAATTTTTAAATTATTTTTAGATTAATCTTTATTCCACCCTTACCTCTAGTAGTCTGAAGTTTCTACTTCCTATTTCTGTTTTATTATAGGTTACTATAAAAAAACATACTGAAGGCTCTATTTGAGTACATAAAATTAATTTCAAGACATTATTTAAGACAAGCAATAAAACTATTTAAATTGTTATTATAGGTGGGCACAGTGGTTCACACCTGTAATCCCAGCACTTCGGGAGGCCGAGGAGGGCAGGTCATGAGGTCAGGAGATCGAGACCATCCTGGCTAACACAGTGAAACCCAATCTCTACTAAAGATACAAAACCTTAGCTGGATGTGTTGGCACACACCTGTAGTCCCAGCTACTCAGGAGGCTGAGGCAGGAGAATCACTGAAACCCAGGAAGCAGAGGTTGCAGTGAGCCGAGATCACACCGTTGCACTCCAGCCTGGGCAACAGAGTGAGACTCCATCTCAAAAAATAACATTGTTATTATATACTTTGGTATCTCTATTTTGGGAAAAAGACTTAGGGTAATAATTGCTACTATTTATTGAGTGCATATAGGTACGTTTCACTTGTTGATTAATCTTCACAACTCCAGAAAAAAGAGCTTCGATAAATGTCTTTTGATAAATGATGAAATAAACTCAGAATTTAAATAAGATTCCCAAGGTCACATAGATGATAAGTAACAATATCAGGATTACAACTGGGTCTGCGAAGTTCCAAAACTAAAGCTACACTGATTTTCAAATGCTTGTCTCTTTCCATGAGGGTAAAAACTTAAGAGTACAATTAGTTGGGAGGGGCATGCATATTTATAATAACAAATAACAGAAAGTTTTCTTTCTCACCCTGTTAGCTAAAAAATTTTTAAATATAGAGGAGAAAAAGAAAACATAATGATAGATGAAAGCTAGAAGTGTGGAAACAGCTACGGAATAGCCTGGAAGGAAGGGACAGCTGGGGGAGGATGAGAAGGAAGTCAGAGAGACAGAGAAAGTCAACCTATGTTGACTGAAGGGAACAGATGGGAGATGAGCAAAGACAAAAGGGGCCATGTGGGTAGGTGTCATCAGTTAGAAGGCAAGTAGCTGGAATTTGATCAATAGACAAGAATTTATTTACTGGACTTCTGGGCACTGTGGGAGATACAAAAGAATGTAGAGTTATTTTGGGAATAATAATGATGCAGAGAAGACAGATGGCTTGAACTGGGGCATTAATGCTAGAGGAAAAAGCTAGAGACAGAAGGCAGAAAGAAAGAAGTTAAGGCAAACCCCACATGAGCCAGCTTTCATATGAATCTGGAATTTTTGTGGGAATGGAAAAACTAAGTTAGAAAAAAACCCTATATTTGCTATTGAATCAAAGGTAAAGGATTTGTAGATGGAAGAAAAAAGATGCCAAATCACCTACCCTTTCCATTTCTACTTTTGAGAAGGTTATTAGAGATTTATTAAAAACATACTCACACAGGCATATACATTACAGACAATCATCCTCCCAAGTGTAAATATGTCCATTTAGCTAAAACTGGGTAGGGCCTCATGGACATCACTAAGACTAAGTGGGACCACCTTAAAAGGATCTAGGAAGTCTTTTTGTCTTGAAGGAAGTTACAGACAAAACTTGAAAGGTGCCTCAGCAAAAAAAAAAAAAAAAAAAAAAAAAAAAAAAAAAAAAAAAAAAAAAAAAAAAAAAAAAAAAAAGAAAAAAACTATCATCAGAGTGAACAGACAACCTACAGAATGGGAGAAAATGTTTGCAATCTATGTATCTGACAAAGGTCTAACATCCAGCATCTACAAGAAATTTAAACAAATTTACAAGAAAAAACTACAATCCCATTAAAAAGTAGGCAAAGGACATGAACAAATACTTCTCGAAAGAAAATATACATGTGGCCAATAAATATATTTTAAAAAGCTCAACATCACTGATCATTAGAGAAATGAAAATCAAATCCACAGTGAGATACCATCTCACACCAGTCTGAATGGCTATTATTAAAAAGTCAAAAAACAACAGATACTAGTGAGGTTGTGGAGAAAACAAAACACTTTTACACTGTTGGTGGGAGGGTTAATTAGTTCAATGATTGTGGAAGACAGTGTGGTGATTCCTCAGATACATACAGGGAGAAATACCACTTGACCCAGCAATCCCAATACTGGGTATACCCCAGAGGAATATAAACAATTATATTATAAAGATACACACATGCATATGTTCACTGCAGCACTCACTATTCATAGTAGCAAAGACACGGAATCAACCTAAATGACCATCAATGATAGACTGGATAAAGAACATATGGTATATGGAATACTATGTAGCCATAAAAGGAAATGAAATCATATCCTTTGCAGGGACATGGTTGGAGCTGGAAGCCATTATCCTCAGCAAACTAATACAGGAACATTAAACCAAATAAGTGGGACCTGAATGATGAGAACACGTGGACATATGGCGAGGAACAAGATGCACAGGGTCCTGTCAGAGGGTGTAGGCTGGGAGGAGGGAGAGCATCAGGAAGAATAGCTATGGATGCTGGACTTAATACCCAGGTAAAGGGATAATCTGTGCAGCTAACCACCATAGCACACATTTACCTATACAAACCTACACAACCTGTACTTGTATCCATAAACTTAACAGCTGGAAATCACACACACAAAAATGCTTGAGGACATTTAACAACATAATGAAGATGAATCTCCATTTCTTGAAGTGAAAGTGAATCAGTGTTAGTTTGTGCTAGCAGACATGGAAACCAGTTCAAAGCCATGAGGATGAAATTAACTTTTTGGGTAGTGCTCTAGCATATTAAATATAATAGACTTTCATGTGTGCACTTATTTATTCTAAATTATCTATTGAATGCCTACTACAACAAAAATATTAGCTACTATGAGTCTTCCTATATACTAGACTCCTATATATTTAATGTGATGAGGATCCCAACTACACTGATTTGATATTTATAAATTATATAAATGTACTAAATTATCACAAATACCCCAAAATGTGTATACTTATTATGTACCAATTTAAAAAATTAAGTTTAAAACATTTGAGGGGGAGTGGTGAGAAGGCAGTCGCATTCTCCAGAGAGCCCTGGGCCCAGTGCATCAGAGGCTGTAGCAGGGAGACAGTTTGCACATAATTACCTTGGCTAGTTATTTCACTCATTCCTTTGTTCATCCAATACACATACACATGCCAGGCAGCCACGGCCTTAATAGGATCAAAATTTCAAGAGCCAAACCCAAAGTAATTGTGGATGGCTTTTGAATGGCCTGGCTGATCTGGAAACTGACTTTGGGTGTGACATTGGTGGGGACCTCATTAGAGATTTCTGAAACACCAGTCAAGTACTAACTGAAGAATGCCAGTAGTGAGTGCCCTGATGGACCCCATCCAGGGTATCTCGAGTGATCAGGGATGGGCCTAAGGGTATAAATTCCCCAAGCTTCTGAGTACCGGGATAGTTCACCAAGCCTTGGATGGACAGACGCAACTTAACTGCTACCTCGAGAGAAAGGGGCTCTGCAGAAGTTAATTTGTGTCTGTCCATCTGAAACAGAGCTGTACTTTCTTATATACCCAACAGAGGCTAGCATCTAGGGGGATGTAAGTTAAAAAGTCCCAATTATATATACCCAAGAGGAACTTAACAGACCCCCTAGATTACAGAGAGACACTTCCTCACTTGGGATAGAGATGTAAAGACTTGAGTCATATATGTCTGTATGTAAATGAATATGTTTATATAGTAAATGGAAGTTGTCATTTTATTCTTGCCCCCCGTCAGCTCTGTGGCCATGAATAAGCTACTTCCTTGCCCTGGATCTCAGCTTTCTCATTCAAAACATAAAAGACCAGGCATGGTGGCTCACACCTGTAATCCCAGCACTTTGGGAGGCTGAGGCAGGTGGATCACCTGAGGTCAGGAGTTCGAGACCAGCCTGACCAATATGGTGAAACCCTGTCTCTACTAAAAATACAAAACTTAGCTGGATGTGGTGGCAGTACCTGTAGGCCCAGCTACTCAGGAGACTGAGACAGGAGAATAGCTTGAACCCAGGAGGTGGAGGTTATAGTGAGCCAAGACTGTGCCACTGCACTCAAGCCTGGGTAGCAGAGAGAGACTGCATCTCAAAAAATAATAATAAAAGTAAATAAAACAGAAAAACTTGGGTCAGATAATTTCTAAGGTCCCTACCAGCTATCACATTGTATTCAGATTCCAGATACTGACTGGAGATTATAAAATTATGTGTCAACTTATAATTTTGTGGTGTATAAGATATAACATCAGACTTTCCTCTTCTTAGGAATTGTCGTGTGAAAATGACCCAACAAATGCAAAGTTTACATCTCTGTCAGTCAAAAAAGCATAGTGCTCCCTCATCTCCCAACGCAGCCAAACGCCTGTACAGGAATCTCTCTGAGAAATTGAAGGGAAGCCACTCTTCCTTCGATGAGGCCTATTTTAGGACAAGAACTGATCGGCTAAGTCTCAGGAAGACCTCGGTGGTAACAAAACTGTTTTTATTCTTGTGTCAGTTTGATTTGTTCAGTTATGTTTGGGTTTAAGGATATTCTGAGATGATTCACGTTTATTTCAGAAGCGGATGCTCGTAATTTTATAAATGCTAGAATAGAGTCAGGTAAGGCAGTAACTGTACATATTTATGTTGTTAGACAATATCTGAGTGATTGTGAGCTGTTTCACTTTCTTCTTGTTTCTTTTTCCTTTCCCTTAATTTTTATTTCCCTACTACACACACACACACACACACACACACACACACACACACACACAAAACCTTCAAAAAATAGCAGCTTGACAAAGATGAAGTCTCAGGCTAAATGGGCTTTCTGAGAATTCCAGTGTTCATTCAAATAATAATATTAATATTATTACTTATTTCAAATGTATACCACACATTCTTTCCAAAGGCATTCAAAATAGAATCCAAAGAATGCACATGTATTATATAATAGATAAAAGAAAGAGAGAGAAGAAGGAAGGAAAGTAAAGGAAAAAATGTAAAAAAAAAAGAAAAAACTAGAAAAAGAAAATATTGGGTATAAAAATAAAAATAGATATATGAAAAAACCCATGCAAATATAGTACCTGTACCTGAAAATTATCATTACATTCGTCTCTGAGTTCCCAGGAAGTCAAAGCAGAAAAAGAAACACAATTGGTTATAGCATCCCATCTGCTGATAACTAAAAACGTCTCCAAAATGAATATTCGCCTGTTGCTCAGTCCTCTGGACCTTGTAGATGTCATAGTGAGTTATGTAATAGAGAATGGCATAAAGAGTGGAACTGATGATGTTACAGACATTCTCATATAATAGTTTCTTAGAATGGCCCTCAGTAAAAGCTGAGACCATAATATTAACATGCTCAGCAAGGGTATTTTTGCAGGGAGTAATGGTACCATTTGTTTGCTCTTAAAACAGAAATGAGTCCTAGCCTTTCCAGATAGAAGCATGCCAAAGTTTGCCAACAAAAGCTTGGTGGAGGAAATGACTTAAGAGTGAGAGTAAATATGGCACATGAGAAATTAGGAATGCTAGGAGTCAAAAACAAATACACAACTGTGGATAGGGTAACATTTTAACTTTGAACTCATTTGTTTTCTAATATGTTTTCTCATTTCAACCTCATCTTTTGGGAGGACTTGGCTGTAGGTAAATTGTGGCCTAAGCATCAGAGGCTCTTCAGTTTAGCAGATTGTGGATAAAACACTTTACTATTAGGCAGATTGTCTTGCAGCAAAGAAAACTGTATACCAAAATAGCTTTATTCCCTGGGTCCCCATTGTCAAAACAACCATTTACATAATAGCTTTGTATTTTCCTCAAATTTCAATTTTGTGTTATGTACTCAGCTAAAGCTGACTTGCAACCTTTGATAGGAAGAATTGATTTTTAATGAGACTGAAAATAAAACCTGACCACCTGAACATTTGGTCACTGGAGATCTTCCATATGTTAATCAGGTGACCCCTATGCAGGTCAAAACCAATGGTATTTCAATTCTTTTAAAGACCAAGCAACTCTTGGCAAAGATACCAGATACATGTGTAAATAATGCATGTGTTGGTCTTCTCCCATGTGCTAAGAAATATTTGCCTAAAAGAATTCCAGAGCTCTTCTCCTTTGTTTACTATTAATCCTCTGAAAGAACTTTTGAAAGGAACCATATTTTCTTAAGGTATTTTTTTCTATAAGTGAACTGTATTCTATAAATATTCAACCCTGATTCCATGAGGCACAAAACCAATTTGCCATCCAGCCACTGAAACCCTCCCTGAACACTACCACTTGAACCCCTCACCTCAGTGCTCAGAATCTATCACTCTACAGGCAGCATGGAGCTAGTAGACATTTGGAAAGAAGGAAGTAACATGTAACATGTATATTTTAGGGAGTTTATTCTTGTGTTAGCATAGAGCAAGAGCTAGGGAGACCAAGACTAGCAGCAGACAGGTCATTGCCATGATCCAGATGAGGGATGACAATGTAGAAGCCTGGGGATGGAGAGGGAGGCGATGCATTTGAGAAAAACAGAGAACGTACACTCTCAAGGCCAAGCTAGCCATAACTAATACTACCTGTGCTAACACTATCTATGCCAGCATTTCTCAAACTGTGTTCTGTAGAATACTATCCCAGGAGTAGTCAAAGCAAATGCAACAAAACACCTGTTAAAATTATTAAAGACACTGAGGAAGCCTACAGGGAAAAAATGGGGTAACTTGGTTTAATCTAATGTTAATCACATTGATTTGGCCACATGCTATTTTCTTCATAGAACATCTCTTAATGACTTTTTTTTTTTTTTTTGAGATGGAGTCTCCCTCTGTTGCCCAGGCTAGAGTTCAATGGTGTGATCTCAGCTGACTGTAACCTCCACCTCCTGGGTTCAAGTGATTCTCCTGCCTCAGCCTCCAGAGTACCTGGGATTACAGGCACCCACCACCACACTCGGCTAATTTTTGTATTTTTAGTAGAGACAGGGTTTTGCTATGTTGGCTAGGCTGGTTTTGAACTCCTCACCTCAAGTGACCTGCCCACGTCGGCCTCTCAAAGTTCTGGGATTACAGGCATGAGCCACCATACCCAGCCAAATGAACTATTAGAGTATTATTCAGAAGACTGGTTTGAGAAAAGTTGAGTTTTGCTCTTACCTACAGCCTACCCAGGCTACCCTGTATTGTCTCAGTGCATCTATTCAATGTCCATTAGAAATGAGTGAGGGGAAGTCCAACAGAGTGTTTACTTTGGAGGCCTTGGGATAAATTGCAGTTATACCACTTATAAGTGGACATGCAGTCCCTGAAACAGTCTCTAAACTTCAAACTAGCTAAGCTACAAAGACCCACTGGTTTAAGAAATTGTGCTAATCTACTTTTGCTACTCTCCTAGAATTTCCAGGGCAATGAAGCCATGTTTGAGGCAGTCGAACAGCAGGACATGGATGCTGTGCAGATCCTCCTATATCAGTACACACCAGAAGAACTAGACCTCAACACACCCAACAGCGAGGGCTTGACACCCCTGGATATTGCCATCATGACCAACAATGTGCCCATTGCAAGGATTCTTCTGAGAACAGGGGCCCGAGAAAGTCCACACTGTAAGTAACCTAAGAATAAACAAACGTACTATTAAAGCTAGACTCCAGTCTAATGCCACCAAAGTAGCCACTGCTGACTTTCAGAGCAGGCATGGTTGACTAAGCATCGGCCCTGATATCCTTTGGATGTTTTCATGGACTTTCATGCAAACGTGGACAGCATTTATCAGTCTAAACGTCAAGTTGCCTTCTAAATAGAATATGCTGAATGGTATTGAAAAGGAACCCCCAAAGAACTTCTTTCTAGGAATTTTATCATAAGCTTTAAAATACATAAGATACTCCAAGTGAGGATATAGAATAGGAGTTATACATAGAAGGATAAGCATTTGCATGTTTCTATTTTGTATTCACAATCAATATGGTGGTTTCATTCATCTACTCATTCATTCAATAAACACTGAGTGTGGGGCACTGTTCTAGGTGCTAGGAAAGTAACAGCAAACAAGACAAAAATCCCTATTCTCATAGAACTTATATGCTTGTTGAGAAGACTTCCAATAAGCAAGTAAATAGATAAATACAAACTCAAATAGTGATAAATGCTATGAAGAAAATAAAATGAATGAATGGCTAGAGATTGACAGGGAAGGGACTATCTTAAATACAGTTGGTACCCATTGACCAATCTCTCACAATCCTGACCCCCTCTGTCTTTGGTAACTACTGTACTTTCTGCTTCTATGATATCAACTTTTTATAAAACTCCACATATAGGCAAGGTCTTGCCATGTTTGTCTTTCTTTGCTTGGCTTATACAACATTTTCTTTATTCATCTGTTGATAGACACTTAACGTTGATTCCACATCTTAGCTATTGTGAATAGTGCCACAATAAACATGAAGATGCATATATCTCTTCAACATACTGATTTAATTTCCTTTGGATATGTACCCAGTAGTGGGATTGCGGCATCATATAGTAGTTCTCTTTTTAATTTTGACAATTAGGAAGTTGGAATGTCTGGTGTTTACTGCACAGTAAGGTGATAATGGAATGGTTAACAGTTAGGTATTGTATATTACAAAGTAGCTAGAAAAGAGGCTTTTGAATGTTCTAACCACAAAGAAATGATAAATACATGAGGTGATGGATACACTAAATACCCTAATTTAATGATTATACAAATATCTATATAAAAACATCAAATTGTACTCCATAAATATGGGCAGTTACAATATGTCAATTAAAAATGAATATATAAATAGGGTAGAGCAAGAAAAGCCTCTCTGATGGGGTGATATTTGAGTTGAATTCTAGATGATATAAAGGAATGAGTGATGAGAAGATGTGGGGGTCAAATTCTCAGCAGAGCAAATGGCAAATATGAAGATGCTGAGGCAGACAGGGATAAGACTGACATATTGGAAGAACTAAAAACTCATTTTGGCCAAAGCAAAGTAACAAGAGGGAGAATGTTGGTTGAGGGAAAAGTCACGGGGACCAGATTATGCAGGACCCTGAGGCCATGGTCAGTGTTCAACTTTAACTGTAGAGTACGATGGGAAGGCAGTGGAGCAGTCTAGGAAGGCACATGAACTATTCTGCTTTACATTAGAAGATCACTGCAGTGCTCTATGGAAAAGAGACAGTGTGAGGCAATTGTGAAATTGAGACCAGTTACAAGGCCATTTTAGTGGCCCAGGAGACAGACTAGATGCTGGGACTAACATCACAGTGATGTTGAGTAGTGGCAGAATTCTGGATATATTTCTAACAGCTTTATTGAGATACAATTCACATACCATAAAATTGACCCATTTGAAGCAAACAATTCAATGGTTTTTCATATATGCACAAGAGTTGTGCACCATCACCACTGTCGATTTTAGAGCTTCATTACCATGAAAGGAACCCCATACCCCCTATTGTCACTCCCCAACCTCTCCAACTCTTCTCAGTCCTTGACAACCATTAATCTACCTTCCATTTCTATAGATTTGCCTATTCTAGACATTTCATGTAATAGAATTACATAAAAGATGGCCTTTTGTGACTGGCTTCTTTCTGGCTGTATTGTGAAGTAGAACTGATAGTAGCTGGGGAAGAAAGCTGCACTGGGGTCAATGGCAGGCCCCACCCAGGAGTGGGTGGGATGATATCATGCAGCACTCACCCTGTGTCAGGCACTTTTCTGAGCACTTTTCATGTATTGACTCCTTTAATCCTCACAGCAACGTTATGAAGTAGGCGCTCACATTCCCCTTAGTGAAAACTCTCTGACCCGATGACCACAATGGCCGTGAGCCACTGTTTTTAATGTTTCCTAAAAGAAAAAAGTAAACTCATCAAACTGTTAGTTTCGCTAATACTGATTCACTTACTTCCAAGTGGCGAGACCCAGAAGGCTGAAAGAGAAGCAAGCAAATATATAATTAGAGGTTACATCTCTGCTCCTACATTTCATAAACCACCACCACCCAAAGACTAGGTACAGAAGCAGATTCTTGTATCAGAAAATTCCTTATTTTAAAAATGCTAAGCTCACCACATCCATGTCAGAGACAGTGAAGATCTGGGTTCAGCAGGATTTGAGCTCTTCCAAAGAGCTCTATAGTCAAAGTGCTACTCCTTTTTAGTAGAACCGGAGGATTCACAAGGATGGTAAATGATGGATGGAAGAAATGGAAATGGCATCTTTCCTGCCTTCCAATTTATTCTGCAACATCATCTGTCCCAAAGATACAGTGAGAGAAGGGTGGAGAGAGAATCAGAGGGCCTGACATGGAGAATGCAGACTGAGCCCCATTCTACAGGAACAAGGAGACCATTCATCCAGATGTTGCCATGGCCATCCTGCACTGGGCTGGTTGAAACATTAGTCCTTCTTACTTACCTGAGACACTACAAAGAACTCTGCATTTTCTGTGATAACAGTAAGACTCCCAACCTCCCAAAGCCCTCTGTGCATAATTAAACCTCTATAAAAGAACTCAAGTACTAAATATCTAGTTAAACCAAAAGCAAATTTGTTCAAGAGATCCCTGGTTTTCCTCCTCATTCTCTCTGGGATGATAACCATGTTACCATCATAACGTTGTAAAGGACAAATGATGGGAGATAAACCCAGGTTTCAACCTCCAGGAAACATGACACCTAAGTCATGTTGGCCACCTGAGAAGTCAAAGAGAAACTACCACATATAGACTTACATGTGTAAAAATGGCTATTAAATGTTGATTATCTATGAAGTCTCGCATACATCATCTCTGGTTTCCACACTAACCCTACAGGATAAGATTATTAACTCCATTTTGAAGATGAGGAAGTTGTGATTCTGAGAAGTTAACTGACTGGCCCCAGGTCACACATCCAGCAAATGAATAGGGATGTCAGGGACTCAGTCTCTAATCTGTAGGATGCCAACACCTGGAATCTTTCCACGCAACCTCACTGCCTTTCCATATAACCAATATGGAGGGGTGTGGCCTCTGGGCCCCTGTATTTTTCCCTTCCTACTGTTTGCTAAAGCCAAATGATGTATTTCTTTTTTCTGTTCTGTGACTAAGGTGTCAGTCCTACTGGAGAGGGACAGGATAGAAAAACATAGTGTTTTCAAGGATTTTTAATCCACTTTATATATCAAATACAAAAGAAGCAGAAATGCTTCTGTACATGAGTATGAGCTAGCCCAAGAGAAAAACCCATCTGCCAGCCAGAACCAGATAGGCAAACACCTGCTTTAAACTGTTCCCCAGAAGCCAAAGAGGCAGAATATATAAGAGAAGAAAAGTAATGATGAGGCCTGACGCTCTTAGAGCGTTTTACACCTCCGAAAATGCTTTTGTCTGTATCATCTCCCTTGATTCTCACGACTGGTTTGTGAGGTAGAAGTTGTTTTTTTCATTTTTATCAGTGAAGAAACTTTAAAGGTCAGACAGTTTTTTTAAAGGTCAGATAGTTCTCCCAACACAACAAAGTTAATAGGTGGTGGAGTCAGGATTTGAACCCGTTCTGTATTAATTCCCTTGGTGTTTGTGAGAAAGCTTTGGCACACTTACCGTTACACATTAGATGCTCGATTCTTCCCTACTTTCGCTCTCCGTTTGCTCCTCTTCTAATGACAGTCATGTATTCCAAAGCAGAGTGCAGGGTATAGGGTTTCTAACAAGGTTAGTTTTCTTTCTTCTCTTTCTTTGTGTATTCCCTTCTGAAAACTAGCCCAGTATTCTTTTCACTATGCCAACCAGGTATCCTCACACAATTCAGAAGAACATCCTCTGTACATTTCTCCATTTCTTAAAAGGAATCACTGTAACACAGAGGGTTTAGGGACTTAACTCCTAAACTACTGGTCAGGCCTGTCTTCTATCTTGAACCCCTCAACGCCAGAGCCACGTGGGCATGTTCTTTATATGAAACTCAACGATGTATGTTTCCTTATTCATAGAAAAATCCCAGAAGAGGCCATCCAAACGTGTACACTGCTCTGAAGTTAAATATATACAGAACCCCAGCCTACTCATTAGATGAATCTGCTATCTTTATTCAGTAACTTTTTTCTGTTCCTCCTACCTTTTTTTTTCTTTTTCTTTCCTTTTCTTTTCTTTTCGGTTTTTTTTTTTTTTTTTTTTTTTTTTTTTTTTTTTTTTTTTTTTTTTTTNACAGAGTTTTGCTCTCGTTGCTCAGGCTGGAGTGCAGCGGCACGATCTTGGCTCACTGCAACCTCTGCTTCCTGGGTTCAAGCAATTCTCCTGCCTCAGCCTCCTGAGTAGCTGTAATTACAGGCATGCGCCACCACACCCAGCTAATTTTGGATTTTTAGTAGCGGTGGGGTTTCTCTATGTTGGTCAGGCTGGTCTCAACTCCTGACCTCAGGTGATCTGCCCATGTTGGCCTCCCGAAGTGCTAGGATTACAGGTGTGAGCCACTGCTCCCAGTCTTGTTCCTCCTACTGATATGCAAAGAGCACAAAGTAATATTCATTCCTTGCAGAAAAAAAAAATACCAGCCGTTATTGAAGTAGAGTCCCAAGTACTTTCTTGCAGACTGGTGTGCT